TAGATACTTGTCATTATACATTTGTCAAAACTCAGAATGTACAATGGCAAGAGAAAGAAGCTATAGATGGCAGTTGACAATTGTGCCAATGTTGGTTCATCAGTTTGACAATTGTGTCATGATGTGGTATGCTGATGCCAGCAGACCTCTCTCTCCTCTCTTCCCCCTTCCCTTCTCTCTCCCCCAGTGATAATAGATAGATAGATAAATAGATGGAGAGAGAGAGAGAGAGAGAGAGAGAGAGGGAGGGAGAGGGGGGAGGGAGGGAGGGAGAGAGAGAGAGAGAGGTGGGTTGGGAAATCTCGGTACTTTAAACCCAGTTTTACAGTGGTTCTAAAACTATTCTTTTTGTTTGCTTGTTAGTTTGTTTTGTTTTTCAAGACAGGATTTCTCTTTGTAGCTTTAGAGCCTGTCCTGAAACTCACTCTGTAGTCCATGCTAGCCTCGAATTCACAGAGATCCTCCTGTCTCTGCTTCACGAGTGCTGGGATTAAAGGTGTGCGCCACCACCACCTGGCCTAAAACTATTTTTGAAAAACAAAGTCTTTTTTTAAAATGACTGGGCTTCTGCAGATGCAGAAGCTGGTGCAGACAGCTAGTCCATCTCAGCATTCTGCAGTGTAGCATAGGGGTCACCTTTGAGGATTTCCCCAGAGACAGTGGGTATTTTCTTTCTTGCCTTTTTTTAAAGGCTTTTGGGGGGATATATTGAGTCCTTTGAAGGCCCAGGGACAGAGTCAGCTAACAACTGTGTCTCAGCTTTCTAAGGAGCACAACAATGGCATGGGAGCACTCAGATTTTCCCAATATTACCTCCTGCAATCTAGACACAGGGCAGGTCTGCTGTCACAGGATTCATACCCTTTCCCCTACTTGGTTGTCCTCACCCATTGTTGATACCATCCCGTTTCATGTTGTGTGTTTTATGCTCCTCTGCAGGACTTAATTGAGACATCATGAAAGCACTCTGTCCTCAGTCCTCACTCTCCCAGGATCTTCAGCTCAGTGGGTTTTAGTCCAAGCTGCACACATAAATCATCCAAGATGAAACACTCAGGACACCAGCCGCTGATATCTGAGATCCCAGTGAGTAGATCGGTGGGCAGTGTTCAGCTCTCTAGGTGACTGTAGTTGCAAACTCCAGGCCTGATCAGCCTTTGACATGTCCCCAAACTTCTACACTCTCCTCCAGCTAATCACAAAAGCAAAGATGGATGTATAAAAGAGAATCATAAATATGAACACATGGAAAGATTAAAGCACAATGTCACTATAAAACCAAGTTATAGACCATCACAGCCCCAATACCATCACCTCCTTAGAACTGGAAGTTTGGTTTCAGCTCCTGCTGGACCCAAAGTAGTTGGGGCCAAGTTTACTATCTCATATCTCTTCCTCCGGCTCCTGCTTAGGCTCAGATGACCTCACTGCATGTAGATTGTTCTCTCCCTTCCCTTCCTTTCTGAAAACCTATTATGATTTCCTATACAAGATGCTAGGTAAATAATTGACTTTCCCCTACTGCCCCATTACCCAATCAGTCTAGCTACCTTAGAACCATGCTGCTGAAGCAAATTCTGATATTCTAACACCATGTGTACTAGGGAGCAGATATAAACCCATAATATATTAAAGTGCTGTTTTCTGAGAGTGGGAGTCTTCTCAAACAGATGTCCTCCTAGGTCCCTTATTCTCTACCCCTGTGAGACTCTCTGCCTGCCTCTCCAGTCTCACTCCTCCCCATCCTCCTCCCTCCCTGATGGCAGACAGACAGAAACATAAGTCCTGGGGACACAGCTTCCTCTCTGAATACTCCAGCTTCTTCCAGTCCAGGGCCCACTGTATTTGGTGGATTCCTTTCAGGAGACATTCAGTGAGATACACATGTCTTGGTATGTCTTGGTTTCATCTCTAATAAGCCTCTGTCCTAGGGACAGTCACTGAGAATGAGCTAAAGCTCTGATATAGAGAATCTCTGATATAGATATTCTATTCAGTACTGTCACTCAGCAGACAATTCTAGCAGCCACAGCTACAGGGTGTGACTGGTTCACAGAGGGGAGACTAGAGTCTTCTAGGGTCTCCAGCCATCCCTCATGCCAGTTTCCTAGTCCCAAATGTCATGATTGGGATGCCAAGTGCCATCATGAAAACTTCCCCTCAGAATGCATCAGCAGATTAATGGACCAGAATTGAGGGCTCTTGCATGTATTCCCTCATCCTGTAGCTTTTCAGGAACTAGACTTCAAATGGACTCTATGCCCATCCCTAAGAAGGGTACTTAGCACCTGATTAAATCATGGAAAATTTTAACCCAATATGCCCATGTCCTGTGATCCTACACATAGTAAGGTGAAGATGTCTGGCCCAAATGAACTGGTGAGCTTGAAAAAATGTTGTGAGGTCAGTTTTCAAAGAGAATAATCTGTTTTTATTCCTGAAAGTACATGACTGAAGTCAGGCAATTACTCTGGGTCCTACCTGCATTACTCTCAAAGTTGTGCACACAGTTCTCAGAGAAGAACTGGTCCTGTTGCTCCACAAGATGTTCAAAGATTCATAAATTTAAATGTGTTGTCAGAATGGGCATGCTGTCACATATTTTTAATCCCAGCACTCAGAATTTAAAGTCAAGGGAGTCTCTGAGACATTAAGGCCAGCCTGGTCTAGATAGAGAGTTCTAGCCAAGCTGTAGCTATACAGTGAGACCCTATCTCAAAAAGAAAAGTATAATTGTCAAGTATTATAATTAATTATTCCACAGAAGTCTCAGGTAACAGACTCAATGGTGTCTTGAAAGTTCAAGATTGTCTCTCAGCTTAGGCCCTACCCTAGATGTTATGACAGACTTTGGAGATCCCCCATGGAGGACCTCACCCTCCCTGGGGAACAGAGGGGAGATGAGGTGAGGAGTTGGGGGAATCCGAGGAGGAGGGGAGGGAGAGGGATCTGGGATTGACATGTGAAGCAAGTTTGTTTCTAATTTTAAAAAATTTTAAAAATTTATCAAAAAAGAACGGTCAAGATTAAAAGAAAATTCAAGTGGGCAGTGTCGGCCCATGCCTTAAATCCCAGCACTTGAGAGGCAGAGACAGGAGGATCTCTGCAAGTTCAAGGCCACCTGGTCTACAGAGTGAGTTTCAAGGCAGTCTCCAAAGCTACACAGAGAAACCCTGTCTCAACAACCCCCAGAAAAATTTAATAAAATCAACAAGATTGATTCATTGATGGCATTATTAACAAAATTCACCTTGGATCTTACTATCGATTCTCTCAATTGACGATTTTTTTCTATAGCATAGGAAAAACACAAACACCAACTATATCAAAGGGAAACATGATTATTTTAAAGATCTATTAGACACATACAAAATAGATTCCTGGATGTAATATGAAAATCATTGACTCATCTGTAACTCAACATCGGCTAAGGTGGCAACGTACATTCTGGAATGTTCATACTGCTTAAGGACTTCTCACCCGTCACTTCTCATTGTTGATGACCACTGTCCGCAAGTTAATTGTGGATATGATAACAGCAAATTTGTGGAGAAAACAGACATAGAGGTTATCCTATGGTTACTACTGACAGTCAGTATAGGAGCCCATATATATGAACTATTTTCCACTCAGTCCCACATACTTTCACAGAATTTCATTAGTCACCATGTTCTTGAGTTCAAGCAACATTTTGGAAATGATACATCAGACAGCCAGACAGATTTCCAGACCCCTCCTCATGTCTCTCACATGTCTCTAGGAAGCCAGAATAACAGAGCAGGCATCACAATCTCAGAGCCTTGCAATCACCAGGTGGGATTCAAAAAGAGGTCAGGATAGTGCAGGAGTGGCTGGCCCCATCTGGTGGCCTCGCCAATGTAGAACTGTCTTGACAAATCTTTCTAGAAAAGCTATAAATCTTGGTAATCATTACTAAATCACTACTTTTTGTGAAATTGTTGCAAATTTAAGAAACAGAAAACACTTTTGAAATACAAACATTTTTTAGATCAGACAAGTGAAGAACGCAATCTCCTACTATCTGACCTTCCCCAAGAAACCCTCAATCAGACTCACACTCAATTCCTAGAACTCTGTAGATCAGCAGTGGAATGTGGACTGAGATCCAGCACCCTGCTCTCCTGTGAGCTGAGGGTTTCTAACTGGAGTCAGGGTTTACTGACACTGAAATGGAAATTATTAGCCTCTTGTAACACTTTTTTTCAACAACCAAATGTCAATGAAGATACCAACACAACAGGCTTTGTTAACTCTTAGTAAAATCAATATTTCATTGATTGTGACAAACTGATCCACTTTGAAAATGCTTTGTCCTTCTGAAATAAATTTAAATATAAATATGATCTGGAGACAATTATACATTTAGACTCTGAATGAACCAGTGATATTTCCAAACTCTGTCACACCTGGACTAGGACTTCTCTCAGGCAGAGCCTGTGTCCTGCTCCCTCCTTTCCCCTTCATTTCTGCATTGTCTCCTTCTAGCACCTAATTCAGAGCCCAGCAGGTGAGTATAGGAACACTGAGCCTCAAGTCAGACTGCAGGGGAAATAGCAAGCACTAAGGACCTCAATCCCTTGGTTTACTATTTTCTTCCCCTAATGTGGGCCTCTGCCATACTCACCATGGAAACCACTCCTGACTTGAAACACCCATCCTTATTCTAAGATTAGCCATATAATAATGTGTCACATTTCCAGAGCTATGAGAAAGCATGACCGATTTTAATAGTGACATTAGACTCCCTTGTTTTTATCTATGAGGGAAACTAACACCTGCTTGTTTCCATGGTTGTACCCCTTGGGGAGGGAAGGGATAGTAACATTTCAAATTACATTAAATAGATAAAACATGAAATGTTTGAGAAGTATTTCAAATTCAGGATGCCCTTCGCGCCCATCGTCACTCTTTTTTTTTAACATTTCAATCCTATTCTCTTAATGGTTTCAATAACCAAAGCAGGAGTCTATTTACTGTATTAACAACGACTTTATTGACATAAAGGACACACAGCATTCTAAGATGTTCATGTTTGAGAGAATGCACTGCACTGAGTGGAGAGACTGAGTCAGTGGTGAGGTAAGAAATAGGATGGTACTGGAGGTCACCCTCTCCACCACTGCTGGATGAGTAGACACAGAAAATAATCCTGGATCTGTAAAGGTTGTTTGCGCTGTCCAATCCTGTTGCTGTCTTTTTAATCACAGGCAGAAGTTCTCTCAGAGAGCCACTGACTGGCACTCATGCTGTAGGGAAAGGGCTCTATTCAATTATATAGACATTGTCTTCACCTCAAGGTCCCCAACTGCTACCAACCTGCAGAGAGAGAGAGAGAGAAAGAGAAAGAGAGAGAGAGAGAGAGAGAGAGAGAGAGAGAGAGAGAGAGAGAGAGAGAGAGAGAGAGAGAGAGGGTGAAGAATGAACAAAAGATCACCTTTCAGATCTGAACAGAACTTTCATTCATAATGTGTCCTTGGGACTCCAGGAGCTCCATTCAGCACCACACAGGCCCCTAGGGTTCCATACAGACCTTGGTTAAGTCTTAGAAAAGTTATTTTGTTGCTTTGTTTGTTTGTTTTTATTAACAGCATCAGACTAAATGAGAATTATTAATTTTTTAAAAAGCAGTTCATATTGGAGTCCTTCAAGACACTAATATAATAAAACACAGAAGTGTGAGATGTAGAGACAGAAATCTGAGATATTTAATCAGGGTGTGCATTTAGGACTGGGTTAGGAACTGGATATTCATGTATTTATTTTTCACTGTGCCACTTTAGAAAGACTTAGGAGTGCCTGGTGATCTGAGTGATACCCCTATTATTACATAGGTGAGTCTAGAGATAGCAGCCAAAAGGACATTGATTTTGATTGAAATAAATGGCCCTGTGTACAGCCAATCTTTAGACAAATTAAGAAGACTAGATAGTTGTAACCACTAGGCAAGAGGAGGTACAGGGGACTTACACTGGGGAGACTAACAGAGCTCCCCAAGTACAGTAAACTGAGGCGCCTGCAAGGCTAGTGTAGTGAATGAAGTGGACTGGTGTGGAGTCACTGGTTATACCACAGTTCTGTGACATTCCACGCACCACAGAAGTCATCTTCCTCTAAATCTTCTGCTCTCTGGGGGCTTCCTGAAACAGCCCACCACCTAACCCTGTCATCCCCAGCATACTTCCCTAAAAGTTCCTCAAAGGACATTTCTACTAGCTTATGTGCTCTGTGATTTAATTCATTAATTCTTAATAGAATAAGTACTCGATGAAAGAAAACACTGGGTGAAACAAGAGTGGGTCAGGGCAACTCCTTCAATATCAGCTTCAGGAACCAAACTTAGAGCTCAGTGTATACCTGTAAGAGATTAGGACCCAAGGGGCTTCTGTTCCTGTCCTACCCTGAATGCAGAGAAATACAGAATGCAGAATGCATCTCTGAGAGGTGAGGGTAACAAGAAAGGGACTCATTAATCTTTATTTTTTACTGAATGGGGTCAAGCATTGTGAACACACCTGTTATCCCAGAGTGAAAGAGTCTGAGGCGAGAGGATTGTGAGTTCAGCCTGGCTTAGTTTACATAGCAGGATCCAGCCAGTCTGCACCACATAGTGAACCCTGTTTCAAATCAACCAGGCAATTGATGAATCAATTAGTAAAGAATGATTTATAAGACCCTGTTTCAAATCAACCAACCAATTGATGAATCAATTAGTAAAGAATGATTTATAAGAAAAAGAGCATAGAGAGATACTCTAAAGACTGTTAGTTAAAAAAGAATGAACACAAACCCATGCCAGTTTACCTCATAGACCCTGACTTCTTTTTCATAAGGATGCAGCCTAAATTGGGGAGGGAAGAGGTGGGAGAAATTGAAAGGAAAACTGAATATGTCATCACAATCGCTCATTTTCTCCTAATCAAGGATAGTTTCTCAGTTGACCTGAACAAGGGGGAGCTTTTGGACTCCAGATTGATGACTGTGTGGAAAGCATGGGACTGACCCAGATCCCCTGAATGTTGGTGACAGTGAGGAGGTCTAGGTAATCTACGGGGCCTTGTGTAGTATTTATCCCTGACATACAAATAGACTTTGAGTGCCCATACCAAAATATGGGAGGCTTTCTCAGCCGGGACTCTTGGAGGAGGGCCTAGGCCCTGCCCTGGATGAAATAACAGTTAATGGAGATCCATCATGGAGTGTCTCACCTTCCTTGGGGATCGGAGTGGAGGTTGGGTGGGGGGCTGGGGGACCTGGTGGGGAGGGCGAAGGAGGCGGGGAGGGAGAGGGAGCTGGGATTGACATGTAAAACAAGATTGTTTCTAACCTAAATAAAAAAATAATTTAAAAACTGATATAGTTTCTGTTTATGATGGAAGCATCACCAGTAACTTTTGGTAACTCCTTCCTGTACTATGGAGAAAAGATCTTCTTTCCATTCATTGTCTGCTATTTCCATCAACATGGCCTAATTTTCTAGAATGGCATTGGTAAATTATTGTTTACTGAGACAAACAAAAGGCTAGAACTTTTTAATGGGCTGCCAGAGAACAAGTCCTTGAGAATGAACAACTTTGAACTAAAGAACAGAGCACACTAGTGGTATTTTAGTAATTCTCCCTTTTAGACACCATCTAGTATGTACCCAAGCTAACCACAGACTTGGAATGCTGATATAATAAGCAAATGACACTAGAGCCAGCTTAAGTAATCTTTCCAGATACACAAGTCCTAAATAACCAGAAAGAAACATCCTGAAGTTTGACAGGGATATTCTTGATTTTTTAAGTGTTTCAAGATAGAATTTCATTGGTTAGCTTTGGCTAGCCTGGAAATCCCAATGTAGACAAGATTGGCCTCAAACTCAGAGATCCTCCTGTTTCTGTCTCCCAAGTGCCAGGACTAAAGCCTTGTGTCATCAGAGACAAGAGACAGGCATATCATTATTCCCCATTTTATGTTCAGTCACATAAAACAGATCAGTAATGGCTCATTCCTATGTTTTTTAAAGTCTATGACCGAAGTTCTTACACAGGGAATGCACTACATATAGGAAAAACCTGTGTACAGTTGTACAATTCATGAAGAACCCTGTAGCACTGGGAATCACCCACAAATTGTGGTTTCCAGCATTTGTCAGGTGGTTTTCCACCAATGCCCAATTTACATCTTCTACTAAATACATCCCAGAATATTCAACAGCATGATCCTGGGAAACAAGTGAGAACCCAAGTGTAGGAAAGGAGAGAACACATCAGAGGTCTTATAGTGACCTAAAAATGTCAACCCTATCCAAAAATCTCTTGAGTCATAGTATTTAATTTTTCATGGAAAATGGAATGTTTCCCATTTAATGGAAACAGCTTAAAGACAAAGGACATGGTTAGGAAACCAGTGTTGTCAAGCACTGCAGCCTATTCCTGTGAGCCCAGCAACTGGATGTTAGAAGAAGGAGGATCCTGAGGAAAGTCATCCTCATCTACCTAGCAAGTGCAACGCCAGCCCAGACTACATGATCACACAGCAAAAAACAAAAACCCAAACTAAAAGCAAAACAAAATGAAGGCACAAAAAGTGGTATGCTGTACTTAGTTGATATTCATAGGAAGCCTGGCTTTCTGAACAGAAACAGAGGAAGTGTAGATTGGGCTGGGAGGAGGGTTGGCAGATGGGCAGCAGGGAAAGGGAATCGAAGATATGAGGGAGGGGAAACTGGAATCAGGGTCTGGATGTGAAATGAAAAAACAAACAAACAAATAAGTAAATAAATAAATGGTTTCAGTTGAATATCTCCAGCAGTATTTAAGCTCCTTGAGATTTACAGATTAGGAATATTTGCAGACGTAGTAGCAATGGTGTAAGATCACTGAGCAGAAAACTCATCAAATACTAGAAACCAGCCACAGAGTTGTGTGGATCCTAACACATCCTGTGGGGATTAGATGGCTTACCATGTGTGACTTGGATCTGGAGATAGGGAAGGCATGTCAACTAAAAGCCCATGTGGCATGTGAACTTGCTTAAAGGCAGTCAGAGAACCCTGGGTCTCATTGTTTGGGGAACAGTTATGAGAAATTACTTACCCATTAGAGCCAAGGCACCCACAAACAGCAGTAGCATCAGTGCAGCAATGGGGGTGCCAAGAGAGAAGTCCTTAATCATTTTCTCGGGTGGATTCAGTGAAGGGATGGATTTCTAAGCAAACAATAAAACAACAGTGGCAATAAATAAACAGCAGTAAACACAAGATGCACTAAGTGAGAGGAACAGAAAACACATGCTTGACATTAACCTAGACTCTAGGACTAGAGCTTCATCGTTACCGGCCTGTGGCTAGTCTGGGATATGCAGGAAGATGCAAGGATCTGAGGTGGTAAAGGCAGTGGAACTCCAAGACAATGGAGATCAGTGTCTTTGACCATGTTGGAAACCTGTTCTGTGTTAGTTGTGCTGACTGCTTGGGCAGCTACCTCAGTCAAAAATCTAACCACATACTTAATATGGGCTCATGCATCATATTTGTGATTTTTGTCTGCTTAATCACCTTCTGTGGTGTTTTGTGTGTGTGAAACAAAATATCACCAGTGTGCTCTACAGAGATTGGCCAATGAGAATGTAAATGAACATCTTGAATTCAAATGTCTTTTGTAAACGTCAAACTCCTTTTTTTTTAAAGATTTTATTTATTTGTTACATGTAGTGTTCTACCTGCATGCTTGCCTCCACACCAGAAAAGGGCACCTGATCTTATTTTAGATGGTTGTAAGCCACTATATGGTTGCTGGGGATTAAACTCAAGATGTCTGGAAGAGATGCCAGAGTCTTTAACTTCTGAGCCCTCTCTCCAGCATCAACGTCAAATTCTTAATTTATTTTTATATATTTACTGTTGAGGAAGTCCTGTATATATGTCAATAAAGCACTGTTGGCCAATAGGGAAGCAAGATAGGTGGGACTAGGAGTCGAGGAGGACTCTGGGTAGGAGAAACACAGGAAGTCAAGATGTAACCGCCATCGGGTAGGAAGCCCTGAAATTTCTCCGGTAAGAGAAATACTTAGATTAACAATTATGGGGTAAATACTTAAGTCAGAGCTAGCCAGTAAGAAACAAACAAGGCCAACAGCTTCATAATTAATACAGCCTCCTGTGTGTTATTTGGGACTGATGCGGCTCTTGAACCAGGCTGGCTGGAAGGCTTCTCATTACATAATGGTGACCAGGAGTGGGATGATGAATTTTCACATAGAACTACAAAAGATTTAAGGGAATTTTAGAAACAAAAGAATGGAGAAAAGCATGGATTTTTGATAGCAGCATTTTTCTCAGGTGGGCTCTGTTTTGCTAGCGACAAGCAAAGACTCACACGGCTCGCTTAAGGGAGTCTTCCTGACTTAGCATTAAAAAAAATAACCAGCAAGGTTCTTTAAGAGGCTCTGCTAACAATTAAAAGGTGTGTATGTACAAATGACAAATGGAAATGGTAGTGACCACATCTCTGAGCCGGTAGCTTTTGCTAGATGTCAGCATGGACTGAAGCGGTAAGCTGAAGTCACACTTATGCCCGCCATCTTGGAAAAACTGCAGATTAAACAGCCGTGGTTTTAACAGATAAGACATGTGGCCAGAAAAACGTAAAGATTTACAGTAAAGTCAGACTTGGATGAAGAAAAATCTCTAAATGTTTACAGTGTGTTTAAAAGTATACGTAAGATTGAGAGAGAAAAAGAAACGGCATAGTGGTAAATAAATAGCGAAGCCGGCTGTGGTGGCACAGGCTGGTAGGATTTGCTGTAGTGGCAGAGGCAGGCAGATTTCCAGAGAAACCCTGTCTCAGAGAAATAAATAAAGAAATAAAAGTAAAAGAAATAAAGTAATAATAGATAAATAAATAAGCCATGTAAAGATGGAAAATTCACAGAGAGTCCGGATACTGTATGCTATTGTGTTTTTCAGTTTTTTGATTGCTCAGGAAGGAACAGCTGCTAAAGTACACTTGATTATAAATGCTGCTGAACTTCAACTTATATCTTTTGAAAATGTCTTGACTTCAAAATTTAAGTATAAGGATATGTTACTTGGGAAAGGAATTTTTGTTTATGTTTCTACAGAAAATGAAAATCTGAGGATTCCTTCCAGGCTTCTGTGGTTTGATGAACCAAGACCCCCGCCCGGAAGCAGTGGACCAAGTGATCCAACAACTGAAACAGCTAAGATGATGCAGCCTTACAGACCCTAAAACTAAGGACTTATACAGGTTCCTGAGTTTTGTCATGATCCCCATGGTATGAACAGCGCCCCTTTCCAGCATGAAGCAGTTTGGAACGAGCGACGTCCTAATTGCCATCTTGTTTATAAATATTTGTTTTCATTTAAATGGGATTGTTTATAATTGGTTAATGATCACAACCAATCTCTTTTTAAAGGAAAAAGAGGATTATGATATGGAAATGAGTACTTTGTATTGGTATGGTTTTTCATTTATTGATACAAATTCAAGGTCAATTTTGTGACATGTATACTTCTCCTCTTGATTAAGTATTGTGCTTATACTGATCTTTTAAAAAATAATGCATAATTGAATACAGACTATAGATAGTTACTTATAATAGTCAGAACTTATAGTTAGGTTGGTTAGGTTTCCTAGATATACAGAGATATATTTGAGATAGACAGTCTTCAAACCTTTCAAAGACCTTCAGAAAATGGCATTTAAAACGGTTTAGGGTTTTTCTTGACAATGAGAAATGTCTGCTCCTGGCATCACCAATTACGTCTGAGAGGAAGATGGGCATCGAAGAAACTCGTTATGGAGTTTGCTTTCAACATGGCAAGATTAGCCATTTGGGCAAGAAACTGCTCTTACCTAGACTGCTTAACTGTTGCTGTATAATCTGGATATGCAGGACCCACAGGAAAGTGACTGCTGAACTCAAACAGTCCTTTAGGGTTCCTGCTTCATGGAAGAGTCTATGAGACTTTCTGCAGGACACAGAAAAATGATTGACAGACTGCTGATGCAGATGGACAGTTTGAAATTTCCTGCTTTGCTGAGAAGTCTTCCAGACACACTGTGGCCTATGGGCTGAAGATGGATGCCCCAACATTATAGAGGAACTTCAGGTGACTGTCCAGACAGTAAGATGTCTCTGTCAATTCTAGTATTTATATATTATTCTTCTGTGGTCTTTGATAGAGTTGAAGGCAGATAGTTATAGTTTTCCTTAGTTATGATAAAAGATAAGCTACATATAGGACTTTGGACTTACAAAATGGGATAGATGATATTTTCTTTAAATCTTGATGAATGTTGATAGACAAAATATTGTAACTGTGTTCTTACTTGATAACTGTTCTGTTATATATAATTTGGCTATGTTAAAGTTAAGACCTTTCTTTTTGTTTAAACAGAAAAGAGGAGATGTTGAGGAAGTCCTGTATATATGTCAATAAAGGACTGTTGATCAATAGGGAAGCAAGATAGGTGGGACTAGGAGTTGAGGAGGACTCTGGGTAGGAGAAACACAGGAAGTCAAGATGTAACCGCCATGGGATAGGAAGCCCTGAAATTTCTCCGGTAAGAGAAATACTTAGATTGACAATTATGGGGTAAATACTTAAGTCAGAGCTAGCCAGGAAGAAACAAGCAAGGTCAACAGCTTCATAATTAATACCGCGTCTTGTGTGTTATTTAGGGACTACAGCACGGCAGAGCCCAGGCGACTGGCGGGGGATAAACCAAAGCTGCTGGCAAGGGAAGGCTTCCCTTTACAATTTACTAATTTACAGTTTTTGAGACAGGATGTTACTATATAGTTCACATTGCCTAATGTTCATCCAGGCTGGCCTCAGACTTGTGACATTTTTTATTAACTTCCTGAGTCCTGAGAATGAGGAAGATACCATTATATCTGACTCTTATTTTAATGCAAATACTTGTGAACTAATTTTACGAACACCTTTAGCTACAAACTGTTTCCTAGAAGATATCGGAGCGAGCATGGGTGGTTGGGGAGGAATATACTTACAGTGTAATTATTCCAAGAGTTGTTCAATGATATTACAGTGTTATTCCAATCTGCTCAACAGGAGGAAAAATTATAAACACAAAAATTTATATATTATTTCTACATCTGTAATAGTCACCCACAGAGTCAATGTGTCATACCATGTTAGGGTGGGATTTAGTAAGGCGGAGGACTCACTAAACAGCAAGTTTTGAACATTTAGATATTCAAAGTATATTAGAAATGCCTATTTTATAACATGGAATCTATTTTTTCACTTTATCATCTATGAATGAAACACAGAATCCCCTTTCCACTGATATCAGACATATATAAAGGTTGTGAAGTCCTGACAAGGAGCACTTCACTGCATTTTACAGATGAAGCAGCAGACATCACATGACTCCATGTTTCCAAGTTTAGCAAATGACAGACATCTCAGCTGGAAAAGCACACACAGTGCCCATGCAATGATGGGGAATACTACAGGTCCTCAGTCCATGAGCCCATCTCCTGAAGCAGGCTGAAACTAAGTATTGAAAAATTCTGTTAATCCTGAGAGATCCTTGCATTTCTTCAGTATGTGAAACTACCTGAATCAAAACATTTTTTCTCCCAAATCCTATGCTTGACAACCCTAGTTATAACCTAGAGGACTCTGCATACTTGGTGTGCAGCCTACTCCTTCAGGGTCCTCCTGCTTGAAATTACCAAAAGGTCATGGAAAGGCAAAAGAAATAAATATCACCCATCAGATTACCCCAACAAGAAAAGTAGCTTTGTGGACTCTTTTGTCATCACAATCCACTTCTACCCAGGGGATGGACAAGTTTTAGGAAGCTTTGAGAGTCCCTGTAACAGCTATCTTTTCATTCCTACATGGCGAAGGTTTGGACCTAAATTTGCCTTCAGGATGACATGCTTCTCCAATGTGTAAGTCAAGGTACTACCCATTAATATTAATTTTTCCTGTAGGTAATTTGATGTATGAACTACAAGGCCTCACTCAAAAGCATGAGCATGCCAAATCACTTCCTAAAGTCTCTGAATTTGATGTGTGTGTTGTTGTGGGTCTTGTTGTGTGTTTTACACTACATAATAGTCACACTACATAAATAATTTAAAATATTCTTAAAGTAAACCTTTACAGGGCATCCATTGTCTCTTTAAAATGTGTTGTCATGATGCCTTTCCAGTGAGGATGTGGGAACAATACAAACCCTCTCCACATGGTGCTCAGGGCAGGTGTTCTGACCCTGGAGTCAGAAGAACCAGCTTTCAACTCAAGGGAACATGGACAGAGACTGAGCCACTTTCTGTCTTAATAACTCTTAATAACTCCAACATGAACTTTCTGACTCTGTCAGTTCCTGTCACTATAAAATAGGAACAGATCACAGCTATATAGGACATAATTGTCTGAGAATTGAACTCTATCATAAAGCATGAAGCATGCTGCCTAGTGCTCAGTAAACGCTAAATGTTAGCTTCACTGAACTATGGCCTCAGCTGCATGGACCAATTTCAGAATGATGGAAAGGGTCATGGATGTCCCTACCCTAATCGTAGTTCTTAGTCAATCTTTAATTTCTCACCAGAAACTCATACCAAGCTGATCCAGACGCCTCCCATGCTCAACTATCATAGCCAATGATCTACATAAGTCTCATTAGTAGTGAATACCCTGGGAATCTGATATTGAGAGATGGTGCATCAATATCTTTAAGTTCTTACACTGAAGAAGGCAAATGTATCTTAAGACTGGAAAATAACAGTCCTTGTGAAGCTGTTGTTGGGACCCAGCTAAGAACTCTTCACCCATATATACTCTGACTTGACTTAGTGTCTGTATGTTCTATAGCCACTGATAGAGGGACTCTGGGTCCTGAGCTACATTGGGATTTACCTGATGTGTAAGTTTGCATATGTACTGTTGTTGTAAGAATCGAGGTGGAGACTCTGGGTGATGATGGTCCATGTGTGGGTCTTGCTGACACAGTCGTGGGATTCACTTTAGTTGTGGGCTTTATTGTAGTCGTGGGTCTTCCTGTTGTGAGTTTTCCCGTTATGGGTTTTCCTGTTATGGGTCTTCCTGTTGTGGGTCTTCCTGTTGTGGGTCTTGTTGTATCTGTGGAATTTTTTGGAGGGCTTGTTGGAATTTCTGGATTTGGAAATCAAGATGAAACAAGGATGAGTAAACAAGAAGGGACAAGAGCTTCTGTTGTAGCACCAGTGAGAGGCTGTCCCCAGAGAGGTACCTCGATTGAACTTCTCTCCTTGTCACTGAACAACTACTACAGGGCAGGGCAGGGCTGTGGGGACAGCTCACCAATAGGAGGCAGCTGCACTGATGACATGGAGATGAGAACAGAGCCCATGTTCCTAAGGACAGTATAAATGGCAGCTGTCAGGTCCTCAGATCTCTAAGCATCTGTGATACTGGGAGTGTGTGTGAACCTGTGAATGCCCTCACTGGCTGCTGACTTAACCCAAAGTTTCCAGGACCTTAATGTTCACTACAGTCAGTCACAAGAGGACACACCATATAGCCATGTGTCTTAGCATACAGATCCCACACCAGCCCAACACAAATGGGATTTGTACATTTGGGTAAAGAGTGGACATTGTCTTTTATGGTTCCTTCCTCTCTAAGAAAGACAAGGTGAATACCCCTTATGCAAAAATGTTTGGTTTCAGAATTATATCTTTCTTAACAATTCAGAATATTTGCATATAGATATTGTCTTATAAATGATCCTCAAGTATAAAAATGGTTTGTGTAGCATTATTATGTCTGTAATTTAGGTACTTGATCATTCTGGATGTGATAATTCGTGAATTTTCCATGAGTTTTACTAAATCCATGCTTAAAAGTTTTAGATTTTGAAACTCTGAAGAGTTAGTATTTTAGGCAGGTTCAAACTACAGTTCACAAATAAACAGCATCCAAAGGTCTGTAAGCACCCAAGCACATACCGATGGTCTTAGTATGCTATGTTCCTAGATAGGACCTAAGTCAGGACTCATACTCTCAGTGTCAGCAGACATAACCCCTGTAAGTTATCTCCCTCAATTTTACATGTGGTAACTATAAAATAAAATCTCAGCAATAAGGAAAAATTGCTTTGAAACCCCTTCTTTATGTGAGATATAGTATAATCCCTTCATGCAGTGTGTGTTTACCTCGAAATAAAGAAAAAACAGTAGTGTTTCTACGATGTGTAGAGAAGCAGCAGATATAGAATTTCCCCCCCTTAAATTCTATGCGTGTATTTATTCATTTATTAGCGTGATGTCCCAAAGTGGCTGTCAGGGGTCTGTTCTCTGCTTCCTCCATGTGGGCCCAGAAACTGAACTCTGGTCATCAAGCTTAGCTGTGGGTACCTTTCCCCACTGAGCCATCTCACTGGCCCTCAAGCCCCCTTTCCTATAGAGGGTCAGATAGTTAAGTGCCTTGTGTTCAGGAACAAAAAATCAGGAGCAAGCACCCATGTCAGTTTGAAAATCACTTCTGACAACATAGCAAAGATGGGTGTGGCTGTGATGCAATAAAACTATTCACACCAGTGAGTGGTTATGTTTATAACCTGGCCTGGTTAATTTGCTGACCAGTCTAAAGTGTGAACAGAGGCCTTAACACAGTACAAAAGCTCCCTGGAGAGCAGAAATGTCTGAGGTGAGAGAAAAGCATGGGAACAATCCAGTGAAAAGATCACTATGACAAAAAAATCCAGAAAGAATCAACAGCTCAGACTTTTGCTTATCTTGCTGTGGGGACGTATTTTTCCAGGTAGATGGGAAAGTTCAAAATAGATGATGTGTTTAAACCAGCAGAAAATATAGACTTGGTTGTTAGAAATGAAACAGAGTTGTTGGATCACTTATAGAATCACTCTGTAAGCACTGACCTGTTAACAAATTTCTAAGCTTCCTAAAACCTTCAATTAATGAAATGAAATTGGGTATTTTATGCTATGATGCCATGCCTATCCTCATGCTGGTGCCAGAAATCTAACCCCAGTGTTTTAGGCAGGAATGTGTGCTAGACAAGTGCCTTCCCAAGCTACACCACAGGCTTTACTTGATTAGTGTGTTTGCAGTTCTAGGGACAGAAGAGAAGGCTATAGGCATGCTTGACAAATTTCTACACATCCCCTAAGAGGCTTTTAAAAAATAATCTCTCTCTCTCTCTCTCTCTCTCTCTCTCTCTCTCTCTCTCTCTCTCTCTCTCTCTCTCTCTCTCTCTCTCTCTCTCCCTCTTCCTCTCCCTCCCCCCTCTCATGTGTGTGTGTGTGTCTGTGTGAATGTCTGTGTGTATGGGTGTGTGTGTGTGTGTGTGTGTGTGTGTGTGTAAGGTTTATTCTCATGTGGAATCCACAGTTATTCAAATTCAGTCAGGTAAATAATACCATTTTACACCTGTGAGAGGCACGGGGAACCTTATGTCTCCTCCCGAAATCTGTCTCTATACATCATTCTTTGCATACTCTATGACCATCTTCTTCTGACTTCCCTAAACTGCCTCCCAGCCATAGTTTTGCAAGGCAGCTCCTTGACACATCAGAATGGACCTCACCCTAACAAGGTGTGTTTGCACATTCCTGCAAGCCCAAACTTAGGAAGTTAAGGCATGGTCAAGAAGTTACAGGTCAGCCTGATTTACAAAGCAAGGCCTAGTCTCAAAAATCAATAAATCAGTCAATAAACAGGAAACCAGAATAATGGTTCAGTGGGTAGAGGCACTTGACTTGGAAGACTGAACAGCTGACTTACCTTCATATAAATATATAAAGTAAGTACCAACCCTACAAGTTTGCACTCTGGTAAATTAATCATGGTATGTATACCTACTGCATACACATCATTCACACATAGCCACAGAATAATAATACAGCTTTAAAAATCAATTTAAACATAAAAATGATGAGTGGATGAATGAATAACAAAGTCTAGAAGCTGAGAGATTACAGAAAAATAATCTTAATTTAAAAATATAGACAGATTCTTTCTAGTATTGATTTCTGTTGTCCATGTATACCCTTTAGTGAAAGGATTAGAAACAGCACCAGAAGTCAGGAAATTCTCATGAGCGAACTCTTTTAGTCAATGCAAAGATACCCTTATATTAATAAAGAGAATGTAAAGCCAAGTGGTGGTGGAACACTCCTTTAATCCCAGCACTCTGGAGACAGAGGTAGGTGGGTCTCTGTAAATTCAAGGTCAGCCTTTTCTACAGATCAAGTTCCAGGACAGCCAAAGCTACACAGAGAAACCCTGTCTAGAAAGAAAACAAAAACAAAATAGAAAGGAAGGAAGGAAGAAGGAAAGAAGGAAAGAAAGAAAGAAAGAAAGAAAGAAAGAAAGAAAGAAAGAAAGAAAGAGGAAGAAAATGCAATATGTCTAGATTTGGGGTTTGCATTTTGCTCAGCGTCCACTGGTTTTCCCCTTTAATTTTTAAGATCCAATGAGCTCTCTGTTCATTGTATCTTCTAGACTAAGAAAGTAGCAAGTCTCAAATATTTTGGATTGCATTGCTACAAAATATTGTATGACAGTAAAATACATGTTTAGATTTGTTACAACAAACTATATATGTGATTCAAGTCTGCTTTAAAATATATTCTACAGCCGGGCGGTGGTGACGCATGCCTTTAACCCCAGCACTCAGGAGGCTGAGGCAGGCGGATCTCTGTGAGTTCCAGGCCAGCCTGGTCTACAAGAGCTAGTTCCAGGACAACCTCCAAAGTTACAGAGAAACCCTGTCTCAAAAAGAAGCAAAACTAAACTAAAAGGTAAAATAAATTGAAATATGCTCTATATGGTGATTAAATATTTAAGGTTATAAAGATCTATTTAGTCCAGGTGGTGGTGGCACATGCCTTTCATCACAGCACTTGGGAGGCAGATACAGGTGGGTCTCTGAGTAGGAGGCCAGCCGAGTGAGTCCCAGAATAGTCAATGCTACACAGAGAAACACTATCTCGAAATAAAAAAAGAAAAAAGAAAAAAATCTATTCAGATTAACAAAAGGTAACTTAGAGATTTACATGGAAGTATTTAGGTCTTCGCCAAATGTTCAACACCAAGAATTTAAATAAGTGGCAAAATATTGAGTTGGGTATTTGGGTACATGCCCACGTGACCTGTCAAGGGTAGTGCTGGCCTCTGTGCTCCCTTAGTCCCTGCTCATGGGACACAGCCCAACTCATAAGCTCCCTTTCTCCCATTTGTCGCTGGTATCTTTCTTTCCCTTATCACTTTTCCTTACCTTCTCAGGTGACAGTCTCAGATTGTACAAACTTGTTCTGTTACTATTCCATGAATGGCTATCTTTTGGTTCTTATTTTAATACTAAAAGAGCTTCAATTCAAAAATCATTATTTTTAGGGCTAACCTGACAGGAATGTAAAGTCCTAGTCTTATGGAAGCTGCTAACCTATTGTAGACTGCTGAGGAATACCAGAGTCATCTTATAAATGATCAAGCTCTTTAATGGTGGTCATGCTAGATATTGATGTAATTGATTACAGGTATAAGCCTTACCTAGTCCCCTATAAGTTTTCAGAGTCAAGCTTAAAGCAAACAACTAGAAATGAAATGTCTACTGAGATATACCTAATAGACAGACAGTCCTCAAATGCTCAGCGATCTGCAAAATATGGCATTTAAAATGTTTACTTTAAAAGCTTTTTGTAATAGAGAGAAGTGCCAGGTCCTGGAAGCACCCCAATTTCCTCAAAGAAGATGGATGGGCACAGAAGAACCTCCACCTGGAACTGGCTTCAAAAGTGGCAGCACCAGCCACGGAGCCAACCTGCCTTTCGCCTCAACTGCTGAAAAGACCTTCTTAAGACCCTGGACAAAACAGTACACTAGGGAATTGATAGCCTCGTTACCTAAGCAAAATGTCCATGGAGGACCCCAGGGAAGGCAGCCAACATGTCTCTGTCATTTTTAATCATTAACTCAGGTAAAGTTTATCCTTCCCAGAACTCTGACACTGTAAGTTTGTCCAAAGTAACAAAAGTAAATAAAAGTTTGTTGTTCAGACTTCAAGTTGAACATCAGAAAAACAAAACTTTGGCCACTGGCTTCTTTGCTCTACCTCTGACTGAATGGCTGAGCCATGCACCTGCTCTTCACCAAGCTTCACACCACTGCCTCTCCTCAGGGTGGCTGGAGACTGAATGCTTCATACTCACTATTGAAGACCCTGCTTCCATCTTTTATACCCCACTAATGCTGGGATTAAAGGCATGCGATCTGTTATTCTTTTAGACTGTTTCAAACTTGTGTATCCCTAGGTGGCCTTAGGCTCGAAGAGATGCATCTATTTCTTAATCCCAAGTCCTAGGATTAAAGGTGTGTATTACCATATCCTAGCTTCTGGCTTCTGGGATTAAAGGAGTGTATCAACACTGCCTGATCTCAGAGCTTGAGGCTGATCTTGCTGTTCTGAATCCTCAGGAAATCTTTTAATACATTATAAGTATCACTTCAGGCCAGCGTAACAGCAACAACCAAGGCTTCAGCTGCCTTCACAGTTCCCTGTAAAATTCAGGTCACCGGCCTCACTCTCCTAGAGCCAATACCAAGTCTAGACACAATTCGTCTTGCTACCACACTCAAGAGAAGAAAACTCACAAAGCATTTAGTGTAACTTTTACCATTCCTTCGTTTAAAGACCTTGCTTTACAGTGACAGCTCTCAGTGGTCAGCCACCTATACCTCCTGGTAAATTAGATAAAAGGTGTTTTAAGCTAGGAAGCTTAAGAGGTGAGGATCTAAGAATATTTCAAGGTCTAAGAAAGTGACTTAAGTTGCGTAAATTCAAATTATGGTGTCTGAGGATTTAAACAAGCTTAAATGCTGATGAAGCATGTTCCTGGATCTTTATCTCTCATTATGCTACTGTTTTATTAGGACTCCAAAAGTTCATAGTCTTAACAGTCATGGATGAAATTCTGATAAATATTGATCCAGATCTGGTAGAGTACTAAACACCATACTATCACAATATGATCTTGGCTACAAGACCAGGATTTTAAATTCCCTCTAACTATAGACTTAAAGGGTACTTTTCATTGTGCTAAAAACATTTCTCAGTTTTCCAGACACAAGAGTGTCAACGCTCTCAACCAGAATCATTTCTGGCATGAGTATACTGCCGGGTTCTACAATGTGAATCTCAGTATAGGTTACAAATGATGCGAGCACTAGGATGTCTAAAACCATCTCTAAACCTTAACTTTTCACAATCTCAAGGAATTCTTGTAATTCCAGGAAGTCAACTTGGATTCACCTCAAACAGGTGAGATGCACCTATCCCTCAGTTACCAGGACCCAAGCAACTAAAGCTTCCCCACCTTTCCCCTGATCTTGACATTCCCTCCCTCACTTACCAGGGCCTAACTCCCTAAACTTAACCTTGATATCTGCGTGGCTGGCACATCACCAGGCCTAAGAGACACTGGATAGTTCTATAGAGCCTGAAAATTGGTGAGGCAACCAGCTACTCTAGGATGTGGCCTGCTCCTCAGTTCTCAGGTTTCCAAAATTCCAGTATCCCCAGATCAGCAGGAAGCAGTCTGGACAACTTTCCACCATCTTTGCCCTAACCTGCCACACCTAACTCCTTACCTTTTTTTTAATAATCAAAAACAGGAGGAATGTTAGTATCCACTCACATGCCTGCCCAGCACACTGGCATATCTTGCTGTGTAATCTGTGTACATGCACTGTGCCCCTTAATTTAAATGTGGAGGATCCCACTTGCTCTCCCTGTTCTCCCTCTTCTTCTCTCCCTTCCATGTCTCTCTGCCTCTCAGTGAATTCCTCTCCCCCTCTTTCTCTCTCTCCTGTCTCTTCCCACAAGACTGCCCTGCACTCTCTTTTATCCTCCCCTCACTCCTTCTTTCCCATTCCCTTCCCCAAATAAAACTCTACACACCAGCAGTGTTTGCACGGCTCATCCATATCCCTCCCATCATGATTTGGACCCAACTCATCAAGGACTCTCTCATGTAGAATCATAGCAATGCTGAGAAGATTATTGTGCACGCTGCCCTCTGAGGACAGTCCTCTGTCTGCCCTGCCATTCCTGTCAGAGCAGAACTCTCTACCCCCCCATTCCTGCTGTTAATGAATCTCCTGTCCAGGTTATAAGAATAGACCCCCCCTTCCCTGGAATCCTCTTCATACCCCATCAAGGGATGAACCTCATAGATTGTATTGTTTCTTGCTAAAGCTCTCCCTCCCACCTGGAGGTCTGATCTCGGCCTTCTCATTCTAAAAAAGCTCATTGTAGGGAATTGTGTGTCAGCATCATTCATGGACTAACTAATGGTGATCATGAGATCACACTGCACAGTGATTATGGACTAACCACTGCTTTTGTAACCACACTTCAGAGTGACAATGGACTAGCTGCTCATGTGACCACACTGCAGACTGACTATGGACTAACCACTGCTCATGTGACCACACTGCAGAGTGACAAGTGAACAGGTGGTGGAGGGAACACAATTCTATGAGGACATTTCCATTGTTCAAGCAACAAACTGTGTGACATGATGTGAGACCTATTCCAAAAGCCCAAGTCAGGGTAGACAAGGAGTGGAACTCTCCATCTATACACAAACATATTTATAACAACCTTCAGTTTCCTTCTGAGAGGAAATCAGAAAATATTAGCAAACAGAGGACTCAGTTTACTTGCAAGAAATAACAAAGGAAACAAAGTTTACCTGGCTTAACTTCCAGAGAATAGGTCACAAAACTGAAAGATCCAGGGATTTCAACTATACAACAATAGGGACCACTGTCACTCTGAACAGCATTCTGTATTGTCAAGGACACATTTCCTTCTGAAATAGGCCCCTGTAGCTGGTATCTGCTGCTCCTCTGATAGGTGACTCGATATCCATTGGTCCAGATAAGTGTTCTTGCACAATAATAAAATTGACATTCGCCAAGGCCCCAGCAAGTGTTACTGATTCCAAGATTTGTTGAGTAATTACATGGTAGTGTGACAGGGTCACCCACCATTGCCTTCACTACTACATCAGAATCCACGACACCTGTGATATAAAATGGGGGGGGGTGGAGAAGTGGAGAATTAATACTCTAAATTTTTCAAAAAATTGTTTTTAGTTATTTTTTTACAAAATCATTGGGGGGTAGTCTAGTGAACCTAATTTAGGGTGTTAGGAAAGTGAGGCAAGTGCTTATCCATGAGCTGTATACAGCGCTACCCCTTCTATATTACTGGAGTTTCTGGGTGTGTGTGTTTTTGTATCTCTGTGTGTTTGTGTCTGTATCTGTGTTTTTATGTGTGTGTGTGTGTGTGTCTGTGTGTGTTTGTATCTGTGTGTGTCTGTAGAAAGTGTTGTAGAAAACCATCAGGAGGGACTAAGGCTTATTCTGAACTTTAGAGTACCCTTAAACACACACACACACACACACACACACACACACACACACACACACACACTAATCAAAGTCCCTTTTATAAGTTGATGACATTCCAGAACTTGAGCAAGACCCATTTACAAAGTAAGACATGTAATCCAAAAATATCCAACCAATAAATTAATGGTGTAATTTAAAAACTATTGTAATTAAATATAATACTTTTGGGTAGATGGAATAAAATTCCTAATATCTACAGCTTCCACAGTGGCCTTTAACGGACAAAGCTTAATGATACAGTGCTGGACTAGGCCATGCCAGGCCCTGTGTTGTATCCAAGCACCAGAAACAAACAAAGGCACAAAAAATGAACTGTGATACTCCCTAACTAGTTACCTATATGCAGGCCTAGGCTGTGAGTTTGGGATATGATCAGAGAAAGCACAGCCATAATTGTATACAATGAGCCCGTTTATTCCTAGGAAACACATTACTGGATTTAGCCAAACATTGTTGTTGGTCCTTTCCTTACTCTTTCAGCTCTTTTGCTCTTTGGGGCCTGACACCCAGTTCCCAAGTAAATCAGGGACTTACTTATGAAGGCCCAGCCTTAGCTTGGCTTGTTTCTAGCCAGATTTCCTTAACTTAAATTAGCCCATCTACCTTTTGCCTCTGGGTTTTTTCCTTTTCTTGATTCTGTGTATCTTTCACTCTTACTCTGCAGCTGAGTGTGGCTGGGTGACTGGCCCTATCATTCTCCTCTCTGTTCTCTTGCTCCTCTTTTTTCTCTCTTTCCTTCTATTCATTCTCTCTCCCTGCCAGCCAGCCTTGTCTTTCCTTTCCCCTGCCTTGCTATTGGTTGTTCAGCTCATTATTAGGCCAATCAGGTGTTAATAGTTAAAGTAGCACAGCTTCACAGGGTTAAACAAATGCAACACAAAAGAATGCAACAACAGCAACAAAAAGACTGTAACACACCTTTGCACTGTTAAAAAATATTCTACAGCATAAACAAATATAACACATCTTAACATACTATTGTACAGTCGAGCTGTGGTGGCACACATCTTTAAATCCAGCACTCAGGAGGCAGAGGCAGGCAGATCTCTGTGAGTTTGAGGGCAGCCCGCTCTGCAAAGTGAGAGCAGTCCTAGTCCCTCACAACCCCTCAGTTTCACAGAGAAGCTTAGACGTCTGAGGACCTGACAGCTGTCATTTATAAAGTATGTCCTTAGGAACACGGGCTCTGTTCTCATCTCAATGTTGTCGGTGCATTTGCATCCTATTGGTGAGCTGTCTCTACAGCCCTGCCCTGCAATATCCTAGTTGGTCAATGACAAAGAATAGAAGATCTCTGGGCGTTGGTGGCACACACCTTTAGTCCCAGCACTCAGGGGGCAATGGCAGGTGGATCTCTGTGAGTTCAAGACCAGCCTGGCCTACAAGAGCTAGTTCCAGGACAGCCTCCAAATCCACAGACAAACCCTGTCTTGAAAAACAAAACAAAACAAACAAACAAAAACAGAAAAGAGAAAGGAAAATACTATAGTACAAGAAAGTACCTTTAGGATCACAAATAAAATAAAATAAAATACATGTTGTTGTTTTTTTTGTTTTGTTTTTTGAGACAGGGTTTCTCTGTAATGTTTTGGAGGCTGTCCGTCCAGCCCGGCCTCAAACTCACAGAGATCTGCCTGCCTCTACCTCCCGAGTGCTGGGATAAAAGGCGTGTGCCACCACCGCCCGACCAAATACATGGTATTTTAATTAAATCATAGAAGTATATTTTATTTCTAATCAGTTATCTCAGCTCTTTTGGGGCTAGAGGCAGGATGATCCCAAGTTTGAGGTGTTCCTCAACAACCTATGGAGTTTGAGGCCAGCCTGGACTAACTTAGACCATGTTTCAAAGGCAATTATGGTGCTCCCTCTTTCTCCCTTTAATAGAATGCTTTGACTTAGAATGTATTTTAAGTTAAGCAATTGAAAGTGGTTTTAAGAAGGAAAAATATTCATAGAAATGAAATGAAGACTGACTTAACTTTTAAATAACCTTTGACTATAACATGCATGCACATGCAATCATACTTACCTGTCCAAAGGATCCATGCATGTGTACTCACCCTTGCTTGTCCATCACGAGAATGAATGCAAGTGTTCTTACCTTTTGCCTGACATATTCTAGGGATCAAGATTTTACCCATGCATTTTGAAATTCATACATGTTAAGAAGTTTCTTTGGAGCTACAATTTATCCTGATTCTCTGCTCACTACATAACTAAAAAGTCTCAAGGATGCTCATCACTTTTCCCAACTTTAAATTCTCAGCATTCCCCAGTTCATCGACTCACTTACCTGGGAGAAATAATATGAAGCCTGAAATGAAGACTTGAGCATGCATCATGGTGTTGACCTGAAGGACAATGAGAAGACACTCTGGTTGGCTGTGGCTCTCAACACACTGTATGGGGCAATTCTTCATTCTGACTATGAATCACACAGGCCTCTCTGTCAGGGACCCATATCCTCCAAACACTGTCTTCTTACTCTGTCTCTTCCCCATATATAGTCATCAATCTCACTTCTGGTCATGACATAAATAAGGCAGAAAACAGAGAAAACTGAAGGCAGAGACATGAGCATGGTCTCTTGGTAGACCTCTAAGCAAAGACCAGCCTCCTTCTAAAGGCAAAGACACACTTGTCTCCCAGGGGACACCGAGCTGCTTCTGCTCAAATCCACACTGCTTAGGTACTGAAAACAACCGAAACAAAACCACCAACAAAATGGAGTCAGAGAGAATACGAAGCATCTCTCATACTTCCACACACAGTGGCTGAGATCACATCTTCCTGGGAGTTATCTAGAGACAACCAGAAAAGCACAGGGTACAAATAAAAACCTTCCATTCCCAGAGCCCCTCCATACCTAGATTTCCTCCTAGGTAATATAGAATTAATGTTTGCTGAGATTTTTGAGAATCTGCTGTGAAGGAGGCAATCAATGGGCTATTTACTTACAGGCACCTAATCTGTTCAGAAACCCTAGGGCCGATATTTTCAGCCATTTATGATGTTACCTGTCTTCAGATTCCAGTATCTGGATTTCGACATTTGTTTCTTAATTGGTAAACCATAAAAGCATGAGTAAGTCTGTCTAGTAAGTCATTAACTCCATTTCTGGTCAGAGGATTCCATCACTTCCTCTCAGAGAGGACAGTGTGCCCTGTTACCTGTCTTTGTGATAGTAATGGTTTTCATGAAGCCCCCATGAGATCAGCATTTTTCAGGACTACAGTTCTGCATTAATACACTAACAGTCTTAGAGTAGACCAGAAAATGTGGCAAACTGGTGGCCAGAAAGTGATTTTAATGAACATCTTAAACATCGTATTTATTAAACAGGATAGTGGTGGCTGTTTTATCGAGAAACCCTGTCTCAAACCAAGCCAATACAAATCAAAACCAAAAAACCCCATCTCATTTAGTATAAATCAACTTCAAAGCATATAAAACCAAAATAAGACACAACTATTACTTTTCCACATGGTCCAATCATTCTGTCCCTTTAGAGTTTTACTGAGGAAAGATCAAGCAGTTGGACATTTACTGCCTCACAGTTGGCTACTTTCTTGACATATTCTCAATGTCCTGAGCTATCTCACAAGGAGTCCTGTGGCCTACCCACTCATAACACTAAGAGCACAGACAGTGGTAGTTAATAGCTTTCCAGGTTCCCAAAGGAAACCTTCTCCACATTCTGGAATTCACTGAGGAACTAGGTGAAATTTGCCATGGAGTAAATACCTTGCTGGTTGCTGGAAATACTTTTATTGTCTGTCTTTACATGCGTGGGAAGAACATATTAGAGTCCTTCTCAGTCATCAAATTATGAGTTTTAGTTCCCTTTAGAATCCATTCCAGCAAAGATCCTGCAGGGAGACTGAGGAAGGATGGGAAGTTGCAGTTCAAGAGCCACAGATAGTACAAATTCTCTCCAGTCCCTCCATAGTCACTTACTATGAACTTCTGCATCTCAGCTAACATCCTTGTGATGATCAGGAACAACTTCTGGAATATATTATTACACTTTCCCACAGACAGCTTCCACCAACCCTGAAGCTCAGAGTTTTAGAACATCTGAAATGTATGGAAGATTTCTGGCCAGGCTGTTAGAGGTCACACCTGTAATAGAGAACCTGCAGAGACAAGCTGTTCTCTGTGAGTTTGAGTTACAGAACAACCAGGGCTACACAGTGAAACTACCTAGGGCACTAAAAGAGAAAGAGTTCTGTGTTCTGCTGTGTCCCATCTGCCTGATATTCCCAGGATACTTGGTAAGTGCATTGATTTATGACTTCTTTTTGTTCTGATATTATAAAAATTCATGTATTCTCTCCCCCTTGGAGAAGAAAAACTAACCTATACATGATAAACTAACCATGTTCTGATTCTTGGTTACTGTACTTTGGATCACAATAACCCCCTACCCCTTTTGGAATAACAGCAGAATTTTTCTAATTTTTACAATTTACTTAAATCTGGGCAGGGATGGTACATGCATGTAATTCAAGCACTTGGAAGGCAGATGCAGGAGGATCTCAGTGACTTTGAGGCCAGCCTGGTCACAAAGCAAGTTCCTAGATGACCTGGACTGTTGTAGAGAATCTCTGTATTGGAAATCCAAAAAAAAATTACATTAGAATACATTGTGCCAGGCAGTGGAAAAACATGCCAAGCGACCCACATGGTCAGAGGACAATCATGGGTAGTTGGTTTTTACCTTCTATGATGCCAGTTCTGAGGGTTGAACTCAGGATTGGTGGCAAGCATCTTCATTTACCAAAGCATCTAGCAGGCTTGTTTGAGGGCTGCATTTTGCCCTGTCAAAAGCTAGGAGCATAAATGCTAAAGTGGCTCACACAGAATTAAAACTTTCTTCCTTCATTTGAAAATCAAAACATTTTAATACTACTTTCATGTGACCTCCAACCAGGCCAAACACCAATGTCCATAAGAAAGATTTTTGAAAAGATGTTTATTTCAATGTAGTTATCATTAATAAACTAAGGATGGGGGAGTATAATTCAGTACAATAGGGTTGTAAAAAACCCAGAGTTGTGCAAGCAATGTACAAGGGAAAGTGATCAACCAATAAATAAACTCAATGAGACAGATGGTAAATGTGTAATCTGACTGTGTTATTTCCCCCTGACAACCTTACCTTGAAGCACAAATTCTGACTGCTTTTAATAACAAAAAACCAAGATATAGAAGTTAATACTGAAAGATCAGAGAAACAGAGCAGCCAGCCATTACTTCTTAGCTCTAATGAACCCTCTGACCAAAGGTGCTATCCTGTCCCTAGGAATCATCAGACTGAATGCCATGAGCTCTTGTCTCCTCCTTATATTCTTCTCTCCACCCACCCAAATCCCCCTGTCTCCACCTCCCTACAGCTGGGATTATAGGCTTGTGACTCCCAAATACTGGGATTTACGGTGTGAGCAACTACCACCTGGCTGTTTCTCTTTTAGGGTGAATCAATCTTGTGTATCCCTGGGTGAACTTGGACCCACAGAGATCTGTCTGTCTGGTAATCTTGAGCCTTAGGATTAAAGGTGTGTGCCACTACTGCCTGACCTCTACGGCTAACTAGTGTCTAGCTCATCACTTGAACTTCAGGCAAGCTTTATCTGTTAAAGCACAAGAAACAGGGACCCAAGTCCTTACCTAGAGTTTTTTTCAGATGCCAAATTATCTGGACTCTATCTAGGCTCAGATTTGCTTTGGAGACCTCCTGTACTGGCTTGGGCAGTGGTGGTGCACATCTTTAATTCTAGCACTTGGGAGGTATAGGCAGGCAGATCTCTGAGTTCAAGGTATATAGTGCAAGGTCAGACAAGGCTACAGAGAAAAATCCTGTCTCAAACAAACAAAACAAAACAGAAAAAGACCTCCTGTCCTACAGAAACTTGGCTTTCTTTCCAATAGATCTCCTAAGACCCTTGTCCAGGTGGTCTACTGCCTAGGTTCTTCTTCGTTATCCCCACAGTTTTCACTTTTTCTCCTTTCTTACTGATCTGCTTAAGAGTCTGGGACATTTTCCATGGATCACCTATAGCCTCAGAACCCATCCTGCCCCTGTCCCAGATCTCAGTTGCTCATGGCTATCATGTCCTTGTTTCCCTGAACATCCACCAATGTGAGTATGATGGCCTGGTCCCTGCATCTCTTCTCATGACCAGTGCTATCCATCAGAGCTAAACATGAGTTTTCAAAGAAAAGTGAAAAACAGGTAGGCAGAGTGGAGGGGCCCCAACTGAGGAATACTGGAATATTCTAGAACCCCATTTTGTTTTTTTGAAACAGGATTCCTCTTTCTGTCTCTATCTTTCTTCACGTGCACATGGATGTAAACACCCACTCTCTCTCTCTCTCTCTCTCTCTCTCTCTCTCTCTCTCTCTCTCTCTCTCTCTCACACACACACACACACACCCAATCTATCTTTCCATCCATCCATGCATCTATGCATTTATCATCCATCCATCCATCCATCCATCCATCCATCCATCCATCCATCTGTAAGCACACCTCTGGAGTGCTTACATGATAGTCTTGGCCACCATGTTCAATCATCAATAAAACTATCTCTGATGAGGGTGTCATTATGAATGAGCTCTGGTTAATACTGTAATGACCAGGGACTGAATTATCACTTGAAATTTGACTAGTACAAGTGAGTAAAACACAAACAGAAACAAAAGCAAAAGGCCTTTTTTTGAGACAGGGTTTCTATATGTATCCCTGACTGTCCTGGAACTTACTCTGTTGAGCACGTTGACTGGCCTAAAACTCACAGAGATGTGCTTCCTCTGGCTCCCAAGTGCTAGGATTAAAGTTATGTGCACCACACACAGCTATATTGAGTAGTTTTTAAAAAGATTTATTTATTATGGACAGTTTTCTGTCTGCATGTATCCCTGAAGGCCAGAGGAGGGCACCAGATCTCATTACAGACTGTTGTGAGCTACCATGTGGTTGCTGGGAATTGAACTCATGACCTCTGGAAGAGCAAACAGTGCTCTTCACCTCTGAGCTACTTCTCCAGCCCTACTGAGTAAATTTTTTAAAGATTTGCTTTTATCATTTTTCAAACTATATATTTCTATGTGTGGGTATGTGTACTTGAGTGTAGGTGCCTACTGAGCCCAGGGACATCAGAATCCTTAGAACTGGCATTAGAGGAAGTACTAAGACCCCTGTGGTGGATGCTGGGAACTGAATACACATCCTATTAACTGCTGAGTCATCTCGCCAGCCTCCAGTTGAGTAGACTTTGTTTTATTTTTCCAAATAATTTGATTTGAATTAAGATATTACACGTGATTCCCATGCTGGATG